GGTGGCTCACGCCTGTAATCCCAGCACTTTGGGAGACTGAGGCGGGCAGATCACGAGGTCAGGAGATCGAGACCATCTTGGCTAACACGGTGAAATCCCGTCTCTACTAAAAATACAAAAGAATTAGCCGGGGATGGTGGCAGGTACCTGTAGTCCCAGCTACTCAGGAGGCTGAGGCAGGAGAAAATGCGTGAACCTAGGAGGCGGACCTTGCAGTGAGCCAAGATGGCGCCACTGCACTCCAGCCTGGGCGACAGAGACTCTGTCTCAAAAAAATAAAAAAAAAATAGAGAGAGACCACAACTGGGTAGTCTCCTTTGTAAGAAAAAGTAACCGAAGCTAAGCTTATGATTTTTATTTTCTTCATGAGTCTGTTATTCTTTTATGTATAAGGTAACTGCCTTACATACTTCTTTTACTGTGTGAAATATTTTTCTTTAAAGCATTTGAATATTAGCAGTGTTTTTATAGTGTAGTTATAGGAATCTTGAAACCGGAAAGATTTGGGTTTTCAGTAGATGATGACCAATAATTTACCATCTCTGCTGAGATAAAGGCAAATTTTGCACTATTGACTTAAGTGCTAGAAAGGAATTAAATGAAGACACATCTTTCTCATAGGTTTATTAGACACTGGGGTGTATTACACTGGTAGAGGTTGTTCTCTTCATTGTTTTGGAGGCCCTTAATTATAAACTAGATATTGTGGTGGAAATGGAGAAGCAGTATCTTTTATTGGGTACACCTCTTTAGGCTGATAGCTGATTTTTTACATTCCATTTTCTTTATAATAGCTCTGCAAGGTGGCTGTTATTATCTTTATTTTAGCAGTGAGCACACTGACTTTGAGAGGTTAAGTGTTGTTTCTGCAGTCTAGTAAGCAGTAGGTAGGACTAGGTAAGTCAGATCTCTCTGATCTCAAAGCCCAGGTTTTCCTCCATGTAATCTTACTCTGTTCCTTAGAATTTATTTATTTGGTGACTTTCCTGGGTCCTTTATTGAATCTTAAATTTTAGGTGCTCTTTTCACTTTAGAAATGAATATGTTTGGCTAGAGGCTTAACTATAGTTTTGTTGCAGTACATTTTTTTTTTTTGCCACTTTAAAACATCCTTTTTATATAATAGCTTACAATGTAGAAAATGAGGCCTGATAAACTTTACTTACTGCATCTTAGTTTATTAAATTGTTGTAATAATAGTGTTTCAACTTCTCATTGTAACATTTTACTCATGAGAGTCAAAATACTGAATAAAAACATTTGAAAGTATTTATTTAAAGTAGGTTGAGCATCAAAAATCCAAAATCTGAAATGCTCCAAAATTTGAAACTTTTTGAGCTTCGCTATGACACTCGAAGGAAATGCTCATTGGAGCTTTTTGAATTTTTGGATTTGGGATACTCACTCAGTATAATGCAAATATTCCAAAATCCAAAATTATCCAAAATCCAAAACACTTCTGATCCCAAGCATTTTGAATAAGAGATACTCCATCTTTATATTAAATATATTGTAGAAAGTAGTTTTCCAGGTTTTTGTTTTCATACATTTTTATTGAATATTATGCATGGTACACCATACATGCTTGACAGTGTTTATTGAAGTAAGTAATTATGTGGCCTATTTGGAATATTTTATGACAGTGCATTTATTATAAATACAATTGCAACTAATATAATAATAAATAAAGGTTTTTTATTGCTAGAAGTAAAAAGTGAGATTAGATTCATAGCAAGCAATAACTGATGTTTTCTGCAACATTTTATCAGTTTATTTTTTACTATGTTATTTAATATACATAAAAGGTTGCAAGAAACGTGCTATTTAGAAAGAATAATAATACAGGACCTTTGTGGACTCACCTAACTTAAGAATTAGAATATTATCAATACCAATTTTTTTTTTAACAAATATTCTCTCTTGCTGTCTCCTAAAAATAAAATTTAGACAAGTACCACATAACTAAAATTGTAATGGAAGACTGCAATTTGCTTGAAGAACTTAAAACTCAAAGTTGTATGGATTGTATAGAGGTGAGAATGAATATTATAAATATATTTTAAGATTTGCCCATTAGAACTTTTAACACTCAGAGGAAGTTAACAAAACTGCTGATAATATACAGTTCATAAAATTGGATGACATATTTGAGGGAAATAACTAATATCTTGATCAGAGTTTTCTAATGATTTAAAAACCATTAATTGAAAGTGAAAATTTGATTTTTTAAAACTTTAGTCTTTAATGAGTTGAAGAAGTATGATTTTCTTTGGTAACAGCTGAGATGTAATTCATGTGCTGCACTGTTCACTCATAGAAAATAGGACTTTAACTCAATTTTAAAAAAGGAATTTGGGAAAATATTTAATGTTCTATTGAATTCCCTAATGCCGTTGATACGATGTGATTTAGTTTATTTAAAAAAAATGAGTGTTTGAAGTGAAAAGTTTTAGTTTTTTCTCTAGCACCCTTCATATATATTCTCATTAACCTACCAACTCATGCTTTGCAATTAGTCTAATCAACATTGCCTCTATGTTATTGATTTATATGTTTTTCGGCACTAAGGTTTCTTGGATAATATCATACTTGCTAACCTAAAGTTAAAATTCTACTTTGCATCTGTTTTTTAGCCTTATTACCTTATTTACCTTATTAATAAGCTATATTTAAAAGTGGGTCTACCAAATACAGTGCAAAAATTTTAGTAATTATTCATAATGTGATGGTTTTGTTTACTTTTAATATTCTCTAACCAAGTTAGTGTTGAGTCATTCAAGATAGGTTTATTTAAATATATATACCGAGGCTGTGTGTGATGGCTCACGCCTGTAGTCCCAGCACTTTGGGAGGTCGAGGTGGGAGGATTACTTGAGGTCAAAAGTTCAAGACCAGCTTGGGCAACATAGCAAGACCTGGTCTCTACAAAAAATTTTTAAAAATTAGCTTGGCATGGTGGGGTGCACTTGTAGTCCTAGCTACTTGGGAGACTGAGATGGGAGGATCCCTTGGGCCTGGGAGATCGAGGCTGTTGTGAGCTGTGATTGCTCCACTGCCCTCCAGCCTGGGTGACAGAGTGAGACCCTGTCTCTAAAAGTATATGTGTGTGTGTGTGTGTGTGTAGTGTGTGTCATATATATATGTAACAAAACATTGGGTATTGTAATCTCATTTTCTACATAAATAATCCCCTAGTTATTTCTGATACCCAAGATAGAAACCCGGATACATTTTTCCTAGGTATTGGGTTCTTGATTATCTTTGGAGCTAATTGATGGGTCTTCTTTCACCTTGGTTTCTCAGCAAGGAGAACTAATGAAAATGAAAGGAAATGAAGAGTTTTCCAAAGAAAGATTTGATATAGCTATTATCTATTACACCAGAGCCATTGAATATAGGTAAGAGCAAATAGAACCAAAGAAATCCTGTTTCTGTGTCAGATCAAGTTAGAATGGTAGTCAGAAGAAATAAAAACAAGATGGAGAATTGGAAAGTATCTTCCAACTTGTTATGCAGAATAGATTTTTCTCATCCTTGGGCATTCGAAGCATCGAAGATGGCGTGGGTATATGAAGCTAACGTAGTAGCATAACTCAGACAAGTCAGGCAAAATTGTGAATTTGGTTCTGCCCTCTTCCATTTTCTTTAAAACTTTCCAGTACAGAGTTATCTCTTTTGTCTTGTTCTCATTTTGCTATCAACCAAGTCCTCCAAAATTATTAACTGGTCAAAAAGGATTAAAGGATTAGTTCTTAATACTGAAGATGCCACCCATTCAGGGTTTTTTGCTTTCTAAGGGGGAACTTTTACAGGATAATTGAGAGAATACATATATGCTCTCTACCTTGTCTTCTCTTTGCTCAGCTGCTAGAATTTTGTAGCTTTCCTCCAGATGTGCCTCATAACTGTGCCCCTGTTATCTCAATTGGGCCACCTAATATTGTAGCAGCCTTTGAAGGGTGCTCTGTAGCCACTGCTCTTTTTCCTCCCTTGCGCATCTCCACAGGGAATGAGGGAATCCAGTTAGTGTATCACCTCTGAAAGGCTGCTGCCCTATTCTTTTGAGGAAGAAGTGGAGGAAAGGGAGATACATTTTACCACACATAGTCAGATAAAACTAAAAAACAAGTTCAAATGAAGCTATTTTAATTTGCAATTACTGTAGTCTTCCGTTCTCAGTTGTTTGTCAAAACGACGTAGTCGTAGTCCTGACTTACTATATAAGTAATCCTATCCTCTAGAGTTACTCTGTAGTTTGCTAGCTCTTTAATATGTCTCATTTGATCCTCACAACAGCCCTATGAGTTAGAGCAACTAGAGTTATCTTCATTTTGAATATAGGGAAGTTTAGGTTGGTTCAAACAAAGTTACTTATGTAGGAAGTGAAGGAACTGGGACTTAGCCAGTTAAGACTCCAGGTCCTATATTCTTTTTGCTCTGCCACACAGATGTAAAGTTTAAAAAAAGTTTTCTTGTGCCTTATGTTTTCGTCGTGATTTTTATTTGTTTCGTGTGTAATGTGCTTTACTGACTAAACATTGTGTCTTTTTAAGACCTGAAAACCACCTTCTTTATGGTAACCGAGCTCTTTGTTTTCTTCGTACTGGACAGTTTAGGTAAGTTGGTTAAAATATCTCAACCACTGAATTATTATGCTAAATACCCATTTTTGGGAAACTTTTCTGTTTTGCAGGTATACAAGAAAATCCTTGACTAGTTCTTTGGCAGAAATACTTAAGTGGTTAAAAGAATACACTTAGGCTTTATATATAACAGTGACAGCAGCAGCTATTCTGATTGAGTGCAGACATATGTTAAGCATTATTTTAAGTGCTTTGCATATGTTATTTAGTTCTCACAGCACCCATAATAGGTAGGTAATGTTATAGTTCACATTTTACATGACCAACGTGTACCACTAGTGATACCAAGATTTGAACACAGATTTTATCTGATGATGTCAAAGTCTGTGTTTATGACATCTATATGACCTCTTTATGCTCTGTTAATTAATCCATACAGTATAAAAGAAGCATTTTCATTTTTCCTCTGTTTATCCTGGTATAAAAAATTAAGTAAATATCCTTCATAAGTGAAAGAAAGCAAATAAATTTAATAGTATAAGAGTGGAATCATAATTCATTCCTAGTTCCTTATATTGAATTTAAGCTGAGTTTTTATTTATTAGCTAAGAAAGACTGAGAAAGATACTGCACCATGATTTTATTGTTCCCCAGTATAAAATTTTTAGAACATAAATTATAAGCATTAATATTGAGCAGGTAGACTATTATATTTAATTTTGTCCTGCTTTACTGTAAGAAGGGTGTAGGGTGGAGTCAAGAATACATCCACATAGTAGAAGAATATTCAAATGAAAACAAACCAGAAAACGAAGTTGGAATCTGGGATTCTCAGAACCGAGCTTCACAGGCATAAGGTCCTGCATAGGTATTAGTTAGAATTCATATTTACCTCTGACCTTCAGCTGTCCAAAATGAAATGGGAAAACTTGACAAGTTACTTAATTCTCATTGTCCATAAAGAAACAGGACACCAATTTGTCAGGTGAAATAATTTTCCTAGTGTTTAGTTTTGAAGGAAGGTGGGCTGTAATATTAATTGAGTGATGGAGTAGAGAATAATCTCAGCAGTATTCTTATGCATAGCAAAAAACTCCCTGAAAGCACAGTTTTGAGTTTCACAAATACGTTTTTTGTGAAGTTTTCTCATGAAGCTGAGAATCTGCTGTCAGTTGTTTTTCAGTGAAAGCACTTGTATGGGAGGGTGGGAGTGGGGAAGGTAGTATATTCTAAGCATGTAGCTTTAAAAATAACATTTATTGTGTTTTTCTTTTATTGTAAACAGAACACATTCTCATGGTAGAAAATTTGGAAAATACAAGAGTTTAAAAAGAAGAAAATAAAAATCACCAGTAATCCAACCACCTTGGAGAATACCGCTGTATTAACGTTATGCAGCTTTTAGATGGCTTAAGCTGTGGATAAACCGAGGCTATCTAGACTAGAGGAATGGATGGGCTTGACAGAGTCTTCCATCAATACCACTGTCCTCAACGGGTTCTGACAAGAAATGAGCTGCAAGTGTCTTTAGGTTATTGCTTCTGGCTAGGTCCAGAATTGCATTTATTTTGTGCTATTTAAAGGTGAATTTGTATGCTTTCAAGATCAGATGAATAGGTTGGTAACTTGGCTAGCCTCTTGTGAAAATTGAGGTGCCTATCTGAAATATTGCTTGGCAGAAGGTTATCTATCCACTTTCCACCTCTGAGAGCTGAGAGGCAAACCAGGGTGTTTCTGCTCTCTTTCATGAGTGTTGAATGCTAGACACACAAGGAAGATCCTTCTAATACCTTGCTGCAACAGGAGGTGAATCAAAGTAGAAGTACAGAAGCTAGGTAGCTTGGTGAGGTAAAGGCCAAGAGCAGCTTGTGGATCTATCCTTGTACCTCCCTGCTGATGGTCTAGCTTGTGGTTTAATACCATCTACATTTCACTAGAGCCAGGTCAGCAGCATTGAGAACCCTTTGTTTCTTACTAGGCAATCACCAATATGTATTGGATGCCTGTTTTATGCATGAAGTGTTTTACCACACTGGTTTTGCTGGCGTTTCCTACCTCCTCACATATTGTCTGTGTGATTTGCTCAATAATGTAGGGATGTTTTCAGAGTCCATAGTATATAAAACTCATAGTATATATATGTAAGTCCATAGTATAATATATATATATCAGGTGACTAGATGGTGTTACTTAAGGAAAGAACACGTTACCAGTAATTCAGATTTGCCATTGACACAGGAGGACCCATGCCTGAGAAAGACTTTTATCTGAGTTACTGAGGTTGAGATGTTTTGAAGCTCTCAAGCAGAGGGATGCTGGATCTGCCGTGGGAATCTGGCTGAGCAGCTGCAGGGAGAGCTGGGGGTAAAGCACCTACCCTTCCCCAGTTTGGTGAGGATGCACTCCTCAGCTGTTCTGCAAGGCCAGACTGCTTATCTGCTGTAATTTAAGCAAGAATTGAGATGTCCAAAGAGGACAGAAATGGGACAATTTAATACTAGAAAAGAAAGGAATAAAAGGGTTAAAGTCTTGAATGCTAAAACTTCTGAAATACTTAATCCTAAAAGATTAGAAAATATAAGTTGAAACTTCAAATGAAAAAGAGATTCAATTTAAAAAAGAGAACTTTGGTAAGATTAATCTTTCAAAGGGTAAAAATAATAGTACTGTATCTTACAACATGGTTATCACTTTTCTGAGCACTTAATGTGTATTAACTCGTAAAACCCTCACAACTGTGTGAGGTAGGTGCTACTGCCTCTTTACAGATGATGAAACTGAGGTATAGGGAGGCCAAGCAAAGTGTCTGAGGAGTGGATGTGATGGAGCCAGAATTTGAACCCAGGGAGCCTGGATGTAGTCTCTACTATTAATCACTATGAGTGATAGAATAAAAGGGAATGTGAAAGTTGGAAAAATTAAAAAATAAATGGTCTAAATAGTCAATACACGTTTATGAGGAAATGATTATCCTTCCAGGACATGTAGATTAAAAACTACGAGTTTCTGGTTTATACCCATCAGATGGACAAAAGTTTAAAAATCTCATAATACCAAGTGTTTGAGAGGATGTGGAACAAAGGAGACTCTCATATGCAGCTGGAGAAAGTGTAAATTGGTACAATCACTTTGGAGAGCAATTTGACAAGGTGAAGATGTGCGTACTCCGCAATCCACTTCTAGGCTCATATCCTCTGAACTCTCAAATGTATACCCAAGAAGATATGTATATGCCTTCATGATAGCATTGTTTGTAAGAGTAAAGAAATGGAAACGACCTAAGTGGCCATCAATAGGGGAATGGATAAATATGGTATATTCATACAATGGAATTCTATATGGCAGTTAAAATGAACACAATGTTGAGTGAAAAAGCAAGTTGCAGAATGATTTGTACACTGTGATGCCATTTATTAATGTTTAAAAACATGCAAAACAATATGCATATATACAGACTGTGTATTAACAATGTTTAAAAATGCATGGGCGTGTTAAACACCCGGGGAGTGGCTGGGGAGAGAAGGAGGGAAAAGGGATTGGAGTTGGGAGGGATGGTACACAGTGGATGTCAACTGTAACAAAGTACTACAAAAAGAGCTGAAGTAAATATGGCAAAATGTTAATTTCTTGCTAAGGTGGTATACCATTGGTACATGGGTGTTCGTTTTGTTAATGATGTTCTCTGTACTTTTATGTATACTTGAAATATTTGATAAAAAGTGAAACAAAATGTGATTAAAAATGCACATGAGAAAAGGAACAGAAAGCAAGAACAGTGACCACTAAACATCAAGGATAAAATAGTGAACAGTGATCTTGAAAAGAGAAATATAAGTATTGTAAGGCCAGTTGCAGAAGTGTGAAGTGTGTGTGGGGAAGCCTGAGGTGAGGTATATATGGGGAAACAGATGCTTCATTCAAACATGGTGGCAGTGGCAGTGATGATTTTAATGCCGAAATAGTCATGCAGTTTGTAAATCCAACCACTTTTGGGTGAATATAAGTTAGGCCAAGAGCCTTTCAAAACCTTTCCGGTCCTGCGAATGTTGTGCTTGGAAAACACAGGAGATGGGGTTGGCGTGAGGCAGGGGTTGGGGAACTGTGCTGCCACCTGCGCCGCCACTCCTGCCGCAGCCTCTCCCCTTCAAATCTTCACACTGAGGATTGTGTTTATCCCAGGACACGTGGCTTAGAAGATGAGATGTCCGTTTTATTCTGCTCCTTCTCAAAGTGTACTTTTCAAATACGATTTGGTAACTATAGGGCATTTGAGAGCGATCATTGTAATTGAAGTAATCAGAACTTTTCAGTTTAGACAAGAATCTAGAGAAAGGAATTAGGCATATCTGTACCTTCTGCAGTTCCAACAGCTTATGTCATATACATAATTAGACTTTGCCCACTTACTATTCAATTCATTCTTGTGGACTCATGGAAAATTCAAATTCTTTGGTGGGACGTGATGAACTGTGTAAGGGAAAATGTTAAGTGGAGAGAGGGAATGCTTAGCTTGAATGGTTTTTGCGTTGCTTTGGAAAATCATGTATTTTTAAACTTGGTGTTTACTTCAACTGTTGGTATTCATTTAAGTACCCATCACATGGTACTGCCTTCCATCAGATCCCAACTGTGATTGGTAGCAGACAGATAGACATTAACTGACTCCTCTCTCGTTGCTTTTTTCCCCCCTAAATTTCTCTAAGACTAGAGATATAAAGCACTGTATGTTTCTGTGAGAATTTCACAAATTTATGTGTGTGTGTGTTGGTTTGGTGAATTATTCCTCACTCTGCCCTCTGGTGTGTTTTCTTTATTTTTGCTTAGAAGCCACTGAATTTGCTTTTGAAGAAAATATTTACTTTTTTCAGTCTTATTTGGGGTGTACCCCCTTTAAAAAAAAACAATAACAAATGCACATGGTAAACAACAGAGTAGGAAAAGGTACACTCGCCCACTCTGACCCATCCTCTGATTCATCTCTTCATATCTTTATGTATTCCCATAATATTTTATGCCTATACAAGCGCTTATGT